CTTCATGCGATTTGAAGGAAAATAATATTTGAAATTTGAATGTGAATTCACTGGAGCTTTCAGGTGCAGAAAAAGTAGAAATTTTTAAGAAAATCGCATTCCGGTTGATAAAGGTTGCATAAATAAATTAGTTGAATACAATTGTTGGGCTCCCCAAAAATGACAAAAAATTTCACAAAAAAAATTTTAAATGTTATAAAAAAATTCCGCCAAAATTTATTTTTTTCTTAGTTTTTAGAAAAACTTTTGGTATGCTATTTTAGAGACCATTAAAATTGCAAGTGGCCAAGAGTTTGCATTGATTTTTAGTTATATATATAATAAGAATATAAACCACTTGAGACAATGAGTTTGCTTTTATTTCCCATTTAGCGTGCAGACATCCACGTAACGTTAGCGAAAAAATAATTATTAGAAATCAACACGTACTCTTAGCTCCATTTTACGTGCACTTCATTGTAGGAAAATTTAATGATCTATAAAACTGCATACCAAAAATTTACTAAAAACACAAAAAAAAATAATTTTGGTGAACATTTTTTTATAACATTTCAAATGAAAAATATATATATAATAACTGATGATTCTCTTGAATATAGCTTCTCTGTTGCACTGTTGGATTGAAATTTCGGTTCTTTATTCCGCTTCTCTTTTCCCCAGTATTCTTGAAATCTCTTTGATTGTGCCCTCGCGCATGAAGTTCAGCAGGGCTTCTTTGCTGTTCTACATACATGTGTAAAGCAGGCATAAATCATCATATTACTACATATTTCTAAATCAACTACATACTTAAATAAAGTTTAAAAATTTGCGACATTCACTCGTATCCCTCTGTTGATTTCTATTCATCAGTTGGCTTCCTTCTTAAACAAACTATTTTGATCAGTAACACAAACAGCTTTGTAGTAATCGCATTACCTACTAACTTGTAAAAACGTGTGCAAATGCGGTTGCCACATATTTTGCGGCTAAGCGAAATCTCATTTTTATGACACAAACAACAAGGCGACCATCACAACTTCTGCCATCCGTTCTCAGTTGATTGAGTTGCCTCTAATAAAACGCAAAGTAACAAAAAATGACTGCAATAAAATTTTGCGTACACGCGCTCACTCAGCCACGCATTCATATATATGTATGTATGTATGTATGTGGGCAGCTCGATATGAGCTCATAATAATGTAGCATATGTTGAGGCGTACTACACATTTAATGCACTGAAGCGTTAGCAGGCGATGGAATAACTATTTAAGTGTACTAGTGCATGAAACTAAGCAAGTTTTATTGCGAAAATACGACAACCAACACACACACACACACTCCTTAGAGATATAGTACGTACCTACTTTGAAATGCTGAAGTGATTGTGTGGCACGTATCAGCGCATAAACACGCCTGGTACAAAATGAAAATGAATTGTAAGCGAAGACGAAGGCGATGGCGAAACGCAGTGTTTGAGGGGAAAGGGGGTGGTGGCAATACTTGTTAGAAAAACGCTATCGAATAACCCAAAACGCGTTAAATGAAATTGTCCTGAAAGAACGACATGATTAAGCTTCAGCGAGCGCCAAATGTGATTTGATCAAAGCGAAGGGGCTTGGGCCCTAAACTCTTCTAATACACACAATCACAAGCCAGTGAGCGTTGCGACAGTAAAAGAATTACGAGCAGAGAGGCGCACAACAACAGCAACAACAAAAGCGACTGTACATTCGAAATAAAACTATTGGCCGAACTATCCCAGCCAGGCACGCAGCTATTGGATCACCCTTGGCAAGGACATGTCTAATACGATTACACGCTCTACATGTGTGAGTAAGCAATAATATATTTTTTATTATACACTCCGCAGCCCCGGCAGTGTCTTCGAAACCAGGCAACGAAATTGCGACAAAGACGAAATGACAGCGGCAAATATGTACGAGTGAGTGTAAGCAAAGCGCTTGTTTGTCGGTATGCGTATTTGTTGCTGACGCTGCTCAGGGTAAATGCGCTCATGTGTGCTTGAGTTTTGCGTCGTTATTTTGATGTTTACATGAGTTGTTGATTCATTTATTTATATCTTCAGGAAGCATAGGGCTGTACACCCCACCCACACATAAAATATTTATAAATTTATGAAAAATTATGCGCCGCAACTAAATGAGCGAATACGTTTATCAAAGTTGTTACATATTGGCAACATTTCTAAAGGGTGATACATATAGTGATTTCTTTGTAACAATTCACTAAATTCATCATCGGTCATTATTGGTTTATTCGAAAGAGCAAACATTCCCATTATTTATGGAACGCGACTTCACTCATGTGACAGCCTCGGCTGGCTTTGCAGTAGCGCAGCCTGTTGACGGCTTCCGGTTCTATCTCACGAATGACTCGCGCTGGATATTCGCCTTAGATTCGGTTCTTCTCGGCACCTCACAAGGAAGTCTACGGTGTCAAATCGCAGCGCCCAGTTTGGCAATTGACATCGCCGAGGCGGCTGATAACACAATAACGGAACTTGGCGCGCAAAAGATCGATTGGGATGTGGGCTGAATGGCATGCCGCGTCGAAGTCTATCTCTTCAATTTCCGGCCATTGGAGATCGTTTAATATGCCACTGTAGCGCCAACGTTTTCAGCAGAATTTTCAAAGAAGAAGAGGTCTATGATGCCACCGCTATAAAATCTGCACCAAACCGTCACTCCCGGAGGATGCATTGACCTCTCGACGATCACATGCGGGGTTTCCGATCGCCAGATGTGAGAATTTTGCTAGCCGCTGGAACGAAAAGGCGCTTCGTAAAAACAAATAATTTTGCGAGCAAAATATTTGTCTATTTGGAGCTGTTCGAATTTGAGTTATTCCCAAAGTTCAAGATTTCCAATCTCACTGTCAAAATAGTATATATTAAAAAATCATTATATAGACCACCCTGTATATCCTTGATAATAATAATATTATGGCGCTTATATTTTTTCTAAGTGTTTGGCCGAGCTTCTTCTCCAATTTGTGGTGTGCGTCTTGATGCTGCTACACAAATGGAGGAACCTACAGTTTTACGCCGCCTCTTTGTAGACTACCGCGTTCTAACCCCTTCCCTACAGCGGCCCATTTATGCTTACCCTTCTTACATATTTACTTATTCTAAAACATTAAAATTATTTGCAAAAGTTAATTTTCCTTGAAAGTTTTCGCCATCAATTTGAGTGGCCCAAAATATGCGCCCGTTCGGATAGCTTTACTTACACCGAGCGTGGGCCCATTGTGCTTCCAACAAAATACCATAATTTGTGCCTTTTGTTCCAACATTTTATGTTTGGTAAACAAATATTTGGCGCTTACACATTTGTTAAGGGTTTGGCCGAGTTTCTTCTCCAATTTGTGCTGTCCGTTTTGATGTTGTTGCAAAAATGGAGAGACCTACGACGATTCTGGACGGCAAAGGGTTTTATGAGAAGCTTTTCGATGGCAGAAATAAACTCAGAAGTTAAAAAAAATCTATTTCTAAATTTAGGTGTTGCTACTTAGGACCTGGGGTCCAACCCAGAACCTACGGTGTGGTAAGAAATATCTTAATGTTATTAACTTAAATTCAGGAATGGTTTTCATTATATCGCACATTTTTCTCAAAAGAGCTACAACTCAAAAAATTAAATCGATTGTTTCGCATAAATCAATTTCTAGGATGTATCTCCGGGTCTGATTTTTTAGTTGTGCCTCTTTTGAAGAAAATGTGCGATATTTGAATCCTTTGGATATGCGGCGCTGGAAATTTCGGCATTATTGTATTCAGGGTTTTATGAAAAATAATAATTCTTAATGAAAAAAAGTTGTCTTAATTTTTGAGCTAATAGGTAAGCTCGAAAAGGAATTGAATAATATTTTTCGATAATAGGAATTAAAAATAAAAATTTAATTTCATTGGTAAATCTCGAAAACCCCAGTTCCAGGAAAATGTTGTAACAAAATTGCAAAAATTTTTACTTTTTTTGTCACTTCAAACTTTCACTCTTTCTAAAAATAATATTACGCAGCGAAAATATTAGCTAAGGCTCGGATGCAACTTTCAAAGAAAACTGTTGAGCTTAAGACCACTTTTTTAGGCCCAAGGTCCAATGCTTCCGATTCTTTAGCATGATAGACCATCCTGATTGCAGTAGCATACAGGCTTTCTAGCCCAGTGTACATGAAACTTATCGTAAAAAAAGAAAGTGAACTAAAAAACTAGAAGTAATAAACTATAGTTTTTTAAATGTTGCCGATTACTCTGCTGCATGTTTTTTTAATAAATACGTTTGTTATTCTTAAGAAAATTCTACAGTGTGTCATTCCAAAGCCGGTGTAAGAAAACTAAAATTTTTTGAATGGCACACTGACCTTGTAAATAAACCTCCCCTTTAACCGAATTACAAATAGCATTTAAGTAACAAAAAAAAAAACAGAAAAGCATCAGTTGCGTAGATAATCTTTTTAATAATCTTAGCACTTTAAGAATACTTATTTCAAGTCACTTTCGAAATAAAAATTACTTAAACTTACCATAAAGTTTGTCTATTTTTAAATCTATTCAGTTTTCCTCATCAAATTTTGTACGACTCCCAACTCAAGGAGCAAAATCACTTGTAAATTAAACCATATCGAATTACTTTGATTTACATACTAAATACATACAAGTTATGCGAAATCAAGTTTCACCACTCCTGTATATTCATCTTTTTAATTACTCCTTGCCTTGCATACTTATAAATACTTATAAATACATACATAGTTATGAACAGTACTCGAGTACCTAAATACTTAAATTTATCAGAGACGACTACGAATTACATCAGCTTTTACTTTCTCATTCCCCTAAAAAAAGATACATATTTAAATACTGACATAACTAATTTCGATTAGCCGTTATATTTTACATCCACACTTCTCACTACACTTGACAAATGTTGTTATGTAACTCAATAAACATTGTTCTATTCCCCAACCTCGCCATCGCACTTGTTGCTGTGCTGCCACAGTCGGGTGTCGGTAATGCGGGGCCAGGTCATAACGCCGCAAGGATTGGGCATCGTCGGCATTCGAGTCTCGGTGGATCGGGACTCGCGCTTCGGATTCACGCTGACACGGCAAGGCGGATGGTAAGTAATAATTTTTGTATACGTACATATATATCCGTAAGTAATTTAACATCCAGCTGCGAGTTGCCTTATACCGAAACCAGATTTTACTGCGAAGACTTTCGTATACGCACCGAATTACCCAGAAATTTGATTGATTGTCAAAAGCAAAAAGAACGGCGAATTCCATGTACATATTCGCATAATCTTCGGAAATTCATATAGAATCGATACAAGCGCCGCTCGCTCCTCCAATTATGAAGTCTAAGCGATTATTTTTATGCTTGTGTTGTTCATGGAAATTGTCTTATTGGAGAAGTTATGAAACCTAATTTTATAGTTCTTCAGTGTGACTATTTACTTAGTGTGGAGAAGAAGGGCTCAAAATTGCCATAATCACAAGCAAATGCGTTCACAAATTCACTCTTTTTCAAAAAAAAAATAATAATAAAATAAACCATTGAAGCAGAATAATATCTGAATTTGAAGCTTTAAATAGAAATCCTATTATTTCCGAATCCGAAATTTCCATTGAAAACAAAAATGTATAGCAAAATATTACATAGAACACCGGCATATTTTCGCATTAGCAAACAAATACAAAGTTGAAACAACAATAACAGCAAAAACAAAACAAATCGTTTGTACCAATACTGGGCAGGAAAATACATAAGTACAAATTTTGAATTAATTCCCTTTAAATCGTTCCTTGGAAACAATGCGAGTTTCGGAAGAAATGCCGGTGGCAAAGTAAAAGTAGAGAATAAGCATAACATTCACCGCTGCCTCCAAGCTGTCAACCAATTTGAACTCACAAGGCGAGCTGGGCGACAAACAGCACAACACTTCCCCACTCGTGGCAACGAACTTCGGCCGCTTCAAACGCCATAAAAGCAGCTTTCGAAAGCACCACAACCAAACACACTGCCTACTGGCAAGCTTCTTCACTTCTCGCCTTCTCTTCTTACTTATTGCTCCAGCCATTGAGAATATTTTTCGAAAACTAAATTAAATTTTCAACGCGCAAATAATTTTTAATTCTGATAATTTCTACGAATGAAGTGTAGCGTTCGTTGGAGGCGAAAAGCCATCTCGACTCACATGCATTCGTTGGCAGAGCACCTCAACCAGAGCACTTACATATCGCCCATTTGATGCTAGACTGGCCCAGCTCAAAATTTGGTATTTGAACTAATAAAGTAGAATTTCCAAACTCGGATGAGTGGTATCGCTAATTCGACAGTTTCATCAAATCTGTCATCCGCAAACTTCCGCAGCCTGTCGATCGTAAAATAGTTGCTGTGATGGTATGCTTTGCTACACCCAACGCAGAAAGCCATAACGCCTAAAAGGTTTGGCTTACTTAGGCTTTTTTATCTTCGGATTACAATCATCACCGCCAACTTGCAAACCACTCTAACTAGCCAGAGCCCCTCTGGATCTGGGTTGGGCTCAGTGGCGTGCCGCGTAGACTTTTTTTGTCGACTACAATAATTTGGAGACGTCAACAATTTAATCCCTCGACAATTTCTGGAAAGTTTTATCGACTTTGACGGCATTGTCTACTCGATTGGCAATTAAAACGACACGTCGTGGAACAACACTGGTTAACCTGGTTCACTTGTAGCATTACTTTTCCCACTAGCGTCTGGGAATTCCGCCTTCTTTTCTTCTTGTATATGCGACGGTTATGCTCATCTGAACATTTGCTATCACAGAGAAGAATCAAGTTCATTTTATATTGGATTCTAAAACAACGCGTTTGACTGTGCCCATAGAACGTCCATTTTAATTTTCACGAAGTTCTTCTGATCTTCGCTGATCGGCGTGGTTGCCAAACAGCGATGCCAACTTGCGGGGAATTCCCGGATTGCGGGGCATTTGTCTCGTATCGGGAAATCGGGGAATGAGTTGTTGAACAATTTATGAGTGAAGATATTTTTGTTGTTGTCTTATAGTTTCTTAAATTTGAGCTCAAAAAGTTATTAAAATCAAATTTTATATTAGCCGATTTGATGGTTTTTAGCAATGATATGTGCAAAATTTTAGACATCTCGCCCAATAATTGTGGAAAATTTGAGATTTGCGATTTGGTGAAAATTAAAAATCGAGCTGAGCAACCCCTAAATGATCACCGATTTCTTTCAAATTTTCAGCAACGTATTTTTTCTTGCCGATTTTAATGCATCGCATATAAATTTCCAAAGATCGGTTTTTTTTAAATCAGTCTAATATACATATATACATACGTTTAACCTCTAATCTGTATTTAAATTCAAGTCAGCCGAGCGGAAAAATGTGCGAAAGGCCCCAGCAATAAAAAATTATCAAAAATCAACGGTAATTTTTAGCCACTTCAAACGTACACATTAATACTACAAGTAATTTTTATGCAAAAAAACAAAATCGACTTCAATTCTCATATAAAAATTTAGGATTATCATTAATTTCTTCATGATATAAACCACCTGTGAAGTAACAGCTTTCCTTTAAAGAAAGAATTATAGAAATTGGTTAACGTGAAACAAAATTATGCGATAACATACATCAAAAAAATAAAATATATATGCCGACGAATTTTTTAATCTTACCTTTTTGTGAAGTCCGTTCAAAATTAAATCGGCTTCTAAAAACTCCGAGTAAAAAGTAAAGTGAAAAAACTTAAAATTTAAATATTGTACATTCGTTAATAAATAAATCCAAGATTTGAAAGCAGCGTTTTTTTCGGAGAGATGACTATCTAAGGAAACTTAAATTAAACTTGATTATTTTTTTTTTTTTTCATAAGGTCATTTAAAACTTAATTGTATAGTTTAGTACGCCGCTCCACTTTCCCACATTCCCACAGACTGCAATTGTCTCTATAAAAATAGAAGTTGAAAGTTCAATTTAGAGAAAAAATCAAACGTTCGTGGCATTTGTTAGACTTGTGTAGTACATATATTTGTTCCTTTGTCCCAATTTCATCACTTCACTCTCAGCCTTGCCTAGGCCATTTTGTTAAGCCGCACCACGCGCCCTTGTCTACCCTGCTTGTGGGTTTTTAGGCTGACATATGCAATGTCGTCCTAACAGCGTCCTGCCTTTATTGCGTTATAATTCTTCATTAGCCCAGTGCCTTAATTCCGCACGTCCATTGTATGTAGTCGCAGTACTTCCGTGTTATTTATTTATGCACGTTCCCTTTTGTCCTCTTATTATTATTTTTATTATTATTTCTTGCACTGTTGGGGAGTTGGTTACTTGTTGCCACTTTTGCTGCAGCACTTGTTGTTGCTAGTTTTTTTTTTTCTTGCCATTGTTCAGCTCCACGCGCGCCGTTACGAGAATTACCTTTGTGAAACTAAACAACCACAACAACAACGACGGCATAGAAAACAGGAAATGAATTACAGTTAAGGCACCAGAAACACATAAAAAGTTGCAACGCTGCCACAATGGCGGATGTATGTATGGCAGTAACTGCTTCATAAGCAAACGCATACACACACAAAATCGGCATATGTGCCCATGCATATATATATAGTTATTTGTATATACATATGTATGTACATACTCGTATGAATGCATGTATGTATGTGCAATGTAAAGAGCAGCAGCTATGTATGTGTTCGCACACTTTGTCCACCTGGATCTGCATCCCTGTCGGGAAACGCAGCTAGTGCCTCTTTTGCATGGTAGCAACTGGTGAATTTGACATTGTGATATCCTACGTTGTAATGTCAATTGCACCCGCTGCATCTCTTTCTCGATAGTTCCGAGCCACTCCTTAATTCTATAGTTTCGATCCAGGGCTAAAAGCGACAGACGAAAAAAGTATCAGGATTTTTTTAGTGTTTTTACTTTTTCCGTGTGTTCGATTTTAAATCAATTTCAGAGAAATGTGTTTTCAATTTGAAATTAAATTTGTTTGAATGATTGTAAAACATGTAGGTTTACAAAACTATGTCTGTAGCTGAGGCAGAGGTGCTTGCTGTTATTTGTTAGATTCCAGAAGGTCCCAAGATTGTAAAATGTTAACACAAACTTTTGTTTTGTATTATAAAACTATGAAAAAGGGGCTGTGAAGTGCAGATTGATAGAGCACTTGAACGAAAGCCCCGTTAAGCACATACGTACATACCTATCTAAAGTTAACAAGTCCCGCTGCATCCCTTTTTCGATAGTTCTAAATTCGTCACCTTAGTTATAGATTTCTAATGGTAAAAGTGATATAAAATATTTTTTTTAAAGTCCCACATTTCGCTGATTTTGATCTCGAGGGGATCTAGTTAACATCGGATTGGTTCGTTTTTGGCGATAAAGGTCTAGTACGTCACTAGAAATTTGATTCACTAGTTCGCAGTTTCCCTGCAGGGATTTGTTGCTATGCGCATGTACATATATGTATGTACCTATTTCATTTATAAGTTTATTTTCGCCACTTTTTCTACCAGTTGCTGCTTTTTCTATTGCTGATGTTGCCATTGTATCTCTTTATGATCCCGTTATCTTGGGCAAAAACATAAGTATTTACGTGTCTTTTCGCTGCAACCAAATTCATGCAGCATTTTTCAACAACGCCTCCCACGCTTCCCATTTAAACCAAAGGAATTATAAACAGCTTTGATATCATCTGGAATTTCTCTGACTTAAAATTAAGCCCTGGAAATACTGTAATATTTTCAAGGGATTTCGAAACAATTTCCCAAACATTTCGAGCACTCTAAGATCTAAAATATTTATTAATTGATATTTATTAATTGATTGGCGCTCATTCTGCATTTGGTGTTGAGTGCTTAGTGACACACCGCTAGTTTTATGTTCCCTGTTTCATAGTCTAACTTTGACAAGCCTGACGACGAATGGGTCCTCATTTCCTGTACGGGCCGCATACACTGCAAGTAGTCGGTCGGTAATTGACGGAGTTTATCACGTAGCTACCGATTCAGCAGTCCTTTAGTCGCTCCCCCGTACTGCAGGGTAGTTTTTGTAACGAGGTGTACAGGCTGTGGCACTCACGCCTTTGCAGGAAGAACGTC